TATTAGGATACATGATGGCGACACGAGGGAACTGACTGATGTAAGATATTTTCTATATCAAGAAAAATTTATCGTTTGTTGGGGTCTTTGAGGCTAAAAGTTATAGGGTAGTTATATAGATAGGAGTTTAAAGAATATGTCAAAGCATTAATTTTTGTGCAGAAAGTTCACCATCATAACCTGTATTATCTTTAGGGTAGTATAATGATTGAAATGTTTACTTCTATTGAAGATTCTTTTAACACCACTACATTATTGCATAAGCAGCTAGCATATACTAAAGTGACATAACTTCAGGCTTTAGTGAAACAATGATTGATCAAATGAGTGAGCACATATAACCTCATTTTTTATAAGCATATTAAGTTTGATAAAAATAAATATGTATCCTTTGTTACCGTTATCCACATTACAAATGGTATTTTAGAACTTGATCATACAAATGTTTAAGGCCTGAAAAAGATTCCATCATTCAGTGGGCAGGGATACTTTGTCTCTTTTATCAAATATACTCTAAATATGTTTGTGTATATATCATAAATAATAAAAGTGAAGTACTGAAGATTTTCTTAACTTAGAAGAAGTGGATTAAGAATCAAGTGATAAAAACATCCATCGTATCAAATCAAAAAATATGTGATACACATTGAATGCATTTTTGTAAGAGTGTTGGACAGTTAGGATAGAGCACCGATTCACAATTTGAGAGACACTACAATAGAACAAGGTGGCAAAAAGGATGAATCTACTTTGGTGGTGAATGTTTAGTATATGTTATCCAATGTTAGATTAGGTAGAATCTATTGTGCTGAGGCCATAAATTATGCTTTTCTTGTTGCATCTGCTTTTTATAGGTAGAAAACCACAAAGAAGATATGGTCAATGCATCCTGTTAGAGATTATGAGCACATAATGGTGTTTGGACATACAACTTGCTCTTATGTGCAGAATGATAGATTAGAATCATAAACAAAGAAGGTGATTATCATTAGATTCAGACTTGGAGTCAAAGGCTTCAACTTTATGACCAAACAGAGAGAAAGATTATCATTAGTAAAGATGCTACATTTTGATAAGGCAAGATTTTTGAAGCCTTGGGACTCAATGCAAGTAAAAAGTTCTATTAGGACAAGATATATGTTTCAAAAATTAGATTTTGATGCAACTCCATTTATTCCATTAATTTCATTCACATCATTCTAAAAACTCTAGATCAAGTACCTAGTAGGAGTGAAAGAAAATATTGAATATGAGGCCCCTATTTGGAATATATTCCTCCTACTAGGTACTTGATCTAGTTAGGACTCAGGATATATCTATTGATAGTTTTTAGAATGATGTGAAAGAAGATATTGAATATGAGGCCCCTATTTGGAATATATTCCTGGGAGCAAAATCAGAGGTTAGAATATCCCAAAACTTTCTTAACAGAGGGATCACATTGCATTTGTACTTTTAGTCGCAAAGGTTGAAGTTCCTTGTCATTATAAGGAAGTTGTGGAGTGCTCCGATAGTGACCTTGTAGAGGGGTAATGGATGAAGAGATAGAGTCTCTTTGGAAGAATGCTACTTGGGATCTGGTGAAGGTTCCTTCAGGAAGGAAATCCACTATGTACAAATGAGTGTATGAAAAAATGAAAGATCTTATGAAGTTGATGTGTTGTATAAGGCAAGGTTAATGACAAAAGGATTTAAACAATGCGAAGGGATTGATCATGATTTGATGTTCTCCATAATTTTCAAGCATACCTTGATTTATGTTCTCTTAGCATTTGTTGCACAACACGGTCTGATTTTGGAGCAACATGATGTGAATATTGTCTTCCTATATGAGAAATTTTAAGAAGTGATCTATAAGTTACAACGACCTATATATGGAGCCACAAAATTCTTAGTTTATAGAATGAACAAATCAATATGGGTTGAAGCAATCACAAAGGCTGTAGTATAAAAAGTTTGATCAGTTCATTATGGGATATGAACACACAAGAATTTAATATGTTCATTGTGCAAATTTTAAGAAGTTGGTCAAAAGTGAGCTTTTCTACTAGCTTCTATATGTTAATGATATTTTAATTGCATCTTCTAGTGAGAGGTTGACAGGATGAAGAACCAACCATCCAAATATTTTCAAATAAAAGAGTTGGGTGAAGTTAGCTCAAAATTTTTTTGACATGAAGGTTCTTGGGGATAAGTAGCTGGAAAGGTTTGTCTCTCACAAGAGGCATATGTTTGGAAGGTGATGAAGATGATTGAGGTTGATGATTTGAGCAAGATGGTGAGCCCACCCATGTCTTCCCACTTTAAGTTGTGTTCAGATCAATATCCTAAAGATGATCATGAGAGAAAAAAATATATGATTGATTCCTTATACTAGTGTAATAGACAGTCTGATGTATATTATGGTTTGTACTAGACCATACATTGCACAAGCAATTGGTGTGGTGAGCAAGCTCATGCATAATTTAAGACAGAGTCATTGACAAGCTGTGAAATTTATTTTTGAGGTATTTGAAGGGTATAACTGATGTAAGCTTAATATTTAAGAGGCATTCATCTATTGTTTCTTTGTGTATAGGTTACATTGATTTATACTATGTATAGTTAATGTAGATAGGCATAGGAATACAAATTACTATTTATTCACAATGGTAGGAGTAAGAAGTTGGAGATCAGCTATTTATTTTATTGATGGTTTGTCTACTACGAAGGCTGAGTTCATGACAGTCAGAAAAGTGATGAAGGAAACGATATGGATGTATGACCTACTAAATAACTTAGGACTTAATCAAGAGTCTCTGATAATATTCTATGGTAGTTAAAGTGCAATATTCTTTGCCACAAATCCGGTTCATTATGTTTGTACCAAGCATATTAATGTGTAGTCAAACTTTATTTAAGACTTGATTGATGACGATAATATTCTATTAAAAAAGATATATATGAAGAAGAATCCAGCCGACATGCTCAGAATGATACTACTAGTTTATAAATTCACATGCAATAAAAGTTTGGTGAACATCCAAGCTCAGGATTGATTGCCCATCCGAGCATTTTGAAGAACTATGCAAGACTTGATCCTTCCCAGAGAAGGGATACATAGAAAACCACTTTGGTGTTGGAGCTCATTTTGTTCATCCACCACTTATCTAGAAATAAGGGATGAGATGGAGATTGTTGTATTAGAGACTCATTTCTAAAGAGGGGATAAATATGTCATTTATTTCTTTTTATGAGTATGCCCTAATGCTCCCTTAATTATATATGAGATATTAATTTTTGTTTGTGGAGTTGTAACCCTATTTAAGGTGTCTTTTCTTTCTCTTAACATGTTGTTTGTGGAATAGCACCTCCCCGTGGACGTAGGCGGATTTGCACCGAGCCACATAAACCGCATTATGTTTGATCATTGGTTTGATGTGTGACTTTGTTTTTGCATTGTTTATTTTTTTCTATATTTATTTTCAAGAATCTCATACAGTACATTTGTGATAGAGTGTGAAATTCTTGGACATGAATCTAATTCATTATGTATGTACCAAGCACATTGATGTGAGGTGGCACTTTATTTGAGACTTAATTGATCATGAAAATTTTTTTTATTGAAGAAGATTGATACGAAGGAGAATCTAACAGACATGCTTATAAAGGTGCTTCCAATCCACAAAATTCACATATTATAGGACTTTGGTGAACATCTAAGTTGATGATTGATTGTTCATTTAGGCTTTTTGAAGAATTATGTGAGGGCAGATTCTTTTAGAAGAAGAGGTAAATATGCAACCATTTTGGCGCAGGGGTTTTGGTGTTGGAGCTCATTTTGCTCATCTCCCATTTATTTCAAACGGAGAGATAAGATGGAGATTGTTGTATTAGAGACTTATTTGTAAAAGAGGATAAAAATGTCATTTTTTTATTACTATGCCTTAATCCTCTCATATTTATATGAGGAATTAAAGTCAAATTTTATGTGTGAAGCTGTAATCATATTTTGGGCATATTTTCTTTATCCCCACCTAATGCCCTCCCAATGGAGGTACGAGGATTTGCGCCGAATCACGTAAATCACATCGTGTTTGGTTGATTGTTTGTTGTGTGATTTTTTTTTGCATTTTTTTGAATAATAATATTTTTATCTATATTTATTTTATCTATAACTTAACTTCCTCAGTGTTAAACACAACACCAAATCTAATTTCAGAGAAAGGCCTCCATGTTGAATATAATGCCGACTATAAACCAATATCTTAGGCTAGACATTATAAAAGCCATTTCCATTTTTATTTTTAGTAGACTCAATCAAGTTTTGTTATTACCAAAAATGCCCACTACGCCTTTATAGAGGCGTTACCCGACGACACTTCTCAAACTCCCCCCGAGACCTGACAACTTGTGCAATCCCTCCCAAGGGATGACAACATAGGCTATTCCTTGCACCTTCATAAATTGGATAAATGGCTGCAACAAAAACACACTGTCATGCATCATTTTCAGATGGGAGCTCCAGGATTGCTTCAAAATTGCTAATCGTAAATCATAAGGCTGCTCACTGTCACCTTTCCTTTTCACTCTTATTGTGGACAACTTCTATTGCGTGATAGCTTTACACTACAATAATTATGGGAAATTTAAGGCCATCAGCTTTTCAGAATTTTTGAGCTGTAATAACAATTTTATTTATCATTAGTCAGTTTCATGTATTGAGATATACTGGCAGTTAATTTTTTAAATTTTTTATCAAAAAACCACAATTTAAATCATTTTCTTTTAAATTTATAGAGTAAAAGTAAAATTTTTGAATTAAAAATTTTACAGAATTAACTAATTAATTCTGATGATTAGCTTGAAAATATAAACTTGAAAGATAACTAAATTCTCAAACTTTCCTGATTGGAGGAGTAGGAAAAACTCTCCCCTTGAAGATATTTTATAGTCCTTACTATTTCTCCCTTCTCCTCCATCATTAAATACCTTAGCCGCCCCCACATCCCTCTAAATTGCTCCATCCCTCTCTCCTAAAATGCTGACCCCATTACACATAGCTTACAACAATAGTCACCATCAGTACTCTGCATAACAAATAGACATTTTGATGTGTTGCTCCCCACTTTTTATTTTACTTCTATTATCCTTCCCTCTCCGATTCCAAGTTGCAGCAAGAAGAAACCATGGAGGAGGCCCTCAAGTCCATGTCCATGGACTACCTCAACCTCCTTATCAACGGACAAGCTTTCAGCGATGTTACCTTCAGCGTAGAAGGCCGCTTCGTTCACGCCCACCGATGCATCCTCGCCGCCCGTAGCCTCTTCTTCCGCCGCTTTTTCTGCGGCTCAGATCCATCTCAAGGTCTCCACCTCCTCCTCGACAACCACCACCACTACCGGTCAAGCCGAGCGGTTTCCTCAACCTCACCGGCCTCGCCGAGAGGGGGAGGAGGTGGTGGTGCTGTGATCCCAGTAACATCAGTCAGCTATGAGGTATTCCTTCTGCTGCTTCAATTCCTCTATAGCGGTCAGGTGTCACTCGTGCCGCCGAAGCACGAACCCCGACCCAATTGTGGGGATCGTGGATGTTGGCATACGCACTGTTCTTCTGCAATTGATCTGGCTCTTGATACTCTTGCTGCCGCTCGATCCTTCGGTGTTGATCAGCTCGCGCTTCTGACTCAGGTAATTAAGAGTTTCCATGCATTATGTGTGGTAGAAGGCTAGCTAGACCTTCAATTATTTGCATCATTTGTTAGTTTCCTCTATCACTCTCTCTCTTTCTTTATTGAAACCGTATATCTTTGTTTGCTGCGGCCAGTCAGAAGAAGCAGCGCTGCAGCTGCTTTCTTCTGTTTTTTTGGTTCACATTCAGTGTTTTTCTCTTCTTAGTTTTGTTTCATGATTTCCATGACTCAATTAGTGGCGATTACTCTAAATTTCTTAAATTTAGGACATCTTTTCGATTAGTTGCACGATCTATCACATCTGAATCGTAAATTAAGGTTTTTAATTGACATGCAGCAATCCCAATTTCTAGGGCTTGGAGCCATTCTTTTCCCCCCCCCCCACAGTTTCTTCCATATTTCAGTGCTTACATTTCCGATGCTTCGCCTAATTCTAAACCCTAATTTCGGCTCCCAGCAACCGTTCACCTCAAGTAACAAGCGTCCTCATTTGTTTCATTCGATGAAATTTCACTGTGTTGAATCTAGTATCCAATTTAAACCACAAAGTCAATGCCTTTTCGTACTCTTGACATTCCTGTTCGCGTCACATACGCATATTCTGTATGAGAAAATCACACCACCTGAAAAAGTTATAAAAATTTGTTCATTTAATTATCTCCTTTTTACATCATTTCAATTTTCATATTACTTTCATCTCCCTTTATGAGTTAAAGCAAGCATTCCCTCTTCCCCCATGTCTTTTCATCTAATCCAAATTGCTGAATTGAATTGACTGTATTTTTCCTTCTTTAGTATACATCATCTGCATATAAATTAGTTGACAATACAGAAACAGCTTGAAGGCATTGTGGAGAAAGCATCAATCGAAGATGTAATGAGAGTTCTACTTGCATCACGAAAGCAAGAGCTCCATCATCTATGGAACACCTGCTCCCACCTCGTATCAAAATCCGGCCTCACCCCCGAAGTCTTAGCCAAACATCTACCCATCGACGTCGTCACCAAGATCGAAGAACTCAGACTCAAATCCTCCCTCGCTTGCCGCTCCACCTTCCTCCCCCCCCTAAACATCGCCTCCGAATCAGAAGACCATCACAACAAGATCCGTCGGATGAGACGTGCGCTCGATTCATCCGACGTTGAGCTCGTCAAGCTCATGGTCATGGGGGAAGGCCTCAATCTCGACGATTCCCTCGCCCTTCACTATGCCGTCCAGAACTGCACTCGAGAGGTCGTGAAGGCATTGCTAGAGCTCGGAGCTGCCGATGTCAACTGCCCCGCAGGCCCGACTGGCAAGACGCCGCTACACATTGCGGCTGAGATGGTGTGTCCCGACATGGTGGCAGTGTTGTTAGACCATCACGCCGACCCAAATGTTCGGACAATCGAAGGGATCACGCCGCTCGATATTCTTCGCTCCCTCACTTCTGACTTTCTGTTCAAAGGGGCCATACCAGGGCTCACGCATATCGAGCCCAATAAGCTGAGGCTATGTCTCGAGCTCGTGCAATCGGCGGCCATGGTGCTTTCTAGAGAGGAGGCGGCTGCGGCCGCCGCCGGCCGCCACCAACGGTAATGTGGATTCACGGATGGTGTATCTGAACCTTGGAATGGCGGCGGCGGCTAGGCTTGATTGTGATAGTAATAGTAGTCGGTCTCAAGGGAGCAGTGGAGGTATCGGGCCTTCTTCTTTGTATTCGCAGCATGAGCACTTTCCATAGCGCCCTACAATTTCATGTTGCAGGGAGAAAAAAAAAAAAAAAACTATGATCTCTCTTTCTATTTGACATTTTGTCTCACTTGTCTATGGTCTATATATTTTACTTTGGCTTATATATCTTTGTTGTTGTGGTTGTTTCAATCATTTTATCTGTATTTTTTGGAAAGAAAAGATATCGGTAATATAGACTGAAGTTGTAGCAGTGCTCTCTGAAATTTTAGTGCGTTTGTTTGCTGTGTTTGTGTATGTGTTTATTTGATGAGTGCTCCGCTCCTTCGGCAAACGTTAGGTATCATTGGTCAGGATTCTTGTTTATTGGTATGTACTGAGATACTGTAATCACCACATTATTATCACATATAAATTGCTTTAGATTAGCCTATGGTAATGTGCATGGGTTGCAATAAGGCTAATTCTTAATTTTCAGACCGTTTTTCAGCTAAATATTTTGCAAAGCCATTTTATCTTGCAGTCATACTTGAATCTTGAGACAAACTAATTGAATCAATGTGATATATGTTTTTCTAAATAAAATAAATATGATGTTCCATATTAATTTATTGTAATTATATTATAGTGTGATTGTAAAATAGTAATCTGTGGTTGTTAGAAAATATGGAAGATAATTTGTCACTGTATAGTGCGAGGACTGTTTTATATATATATATATATATATAAGTTTATAAAGATTTTCATATGTGTAAATTTAATATAGGAAATAATCATGCTGATCGATGACTTCGACAACAATATTCAAAAATTTTAGTAGTGAATTGTCCTCCATGGAACCTGCAGCCATTTATATGACTGGTCAATTAGCTATTTACAGAAATATTTTCCCAAAAAATGAGGCTAAAACATAGGGAAATGAATGTCAAGTCTATAAATTTTAGCTTGTTAACGGTCATAATGTGAAAAAAGTCAAATTTTTCTAATTTTGAATCGCTGCTTCCTGTGTTCTGACAAAAATTATTCAGCCCCTACAGTCTAATTTCTTCTTAAATTTTTTTTTTTTTAAATTATGTTAACTTGCTAGTGAGCTGTCCGTACAATTTATTATCAAAATAACTTTTATGCCGGCATTTGGTATTTCCTGGGAAAAAAAAAATTAGTTTTTAATTATTTGAATTGTAAATAAACAAAAATTTCTTCTTAAATTATGGTAACTTGTTAGAGAGCTATCCGTACAATTTATTATCAAAATAATTTTTAAGCCGGCATTTGGTATTTCCTGGGAAAAAAAATATTAGTTTTTAATTATTTGAATTGTAAATAAACAAAAGGCCGCATGTGCCCTAACAATCTTGCCCACATACTTATTATTGGCTATTACTCTCCTTCAAACTTAAGGCTTTCAGCACCTAATGTCATCCGACAAGAGCACATCCAATTATGTGAATATACAGTGTGAAACATTGGTACTTTCCATGCTCGACCATGGTTGATGAATCCACCCTAAACATACAAGTCAGAAATTGCATCAATCAGTTAATTTTGATCAAACATTCTTATGACATCCGTTAGTGATTGGACTAAAGAGAGATCATATTGGGCTAAATATAATAGCAATCAAACTCAATTTAAATAAAAGCAAACTTAACAACATAATCTTTCAATTATATATTGAAACTAGATATCAAAAACTATAAATTTTTTTTGTGAAAGTTAGGTTTTACTAATGGGAGTGGTGCAAGTGCGTGTGGGGATGTGGTGGGGTTTAAAGAGGAAAGAGGGAGACAACGAGAATCTAAGTTAGCATTGAATGAGTGAGTTGATGCAGGTCAATCTTTTTTACCTGTCAAGTCTTGTCAAACTTTTGTTTTTATTTGCCACCTATTTATAACCAGTAATGCCTCATCACCTCTTTCTTTATGATCCTATCGTTTTCTGTCTCCCTTTTTCTTCAGTCTACTCAAATTTAGATAGAATTCAATTAAAGAGATCCCTTTGTTGCTTGCATTGTATCTTTTACAAGATAATGATATATTTTTATATATATATATGGGGCATTTACATATGTGCTGTCTGAAATTTATGTATTTACATATCTAACGCCTAACTTGTACTTATAAGCTAAATGAAACATATATAAGAATTAAATAGAGTTATTATTATGTGAAAAAGATAAATAAAGTTACTTGTCAGCCAAAAATGTTCAATTTAAAAGAAAAAATTCTACTGTCTAAATTTTCTTATACAACATAATAATATCTACATTTTACAATTCATTCAAAACATCTAAAAAAGTTTTATAACTGATGCAGTTTGCTCAAGATGATTTTGTCCCTTTAGAGATACTGTTAAGCAAGCTAAAACCAATATATTCCTAAGTTAATACTTCCCTCCAATAAATATATTTCCTATGTTTCAATAAGTTGAATCTGTAAGCAGTAAAACAAAATTGAAAATGGTAGAATGATAAATCCATACTATTCAAAAACAATAAACTATGTTAATATAATAATTTTTTCTGGCAATTTTTTTCCCTTTCACCTTTTATAACAGTCAGTGTTACAGTTATTTGATGATGAAAGCCTAGTCATCGACATCTTTGACTGACTTCCAACTCCTGCATTCTGTATCAAGAAATGTTCAAACTATATAGTAGCTGCTAAAGTGCTTCTTCTTTCTGGAAACGATGGCGGATATTCAATCAAACTGATATGCTAGATTATATATATATTAATTAACCATCATGTCCAGCTTTACTCATGTGCACGTGCATTAGCATGCTACGTAATTATATAAAAATTTAAAGTTTTTTGCACTCTTTTAGCGGCTTCTGCAGATCATTACTTGCTTTGCTCATAAACATATAAAAATAAAAATAAAGATTATGAACAGTTTGCTGGCGCATGAATGTCATCTTCAAAGAGGGAACTCAACATTCAAGGATTGATTAGTATAATCAATATTGATTGATGGAATTTTCATGCTTTGAAAGGACAAATGATCAAAAGCGAATATTGTAACTTGGACCAACATGCTCTACATTTTTCATGAAATGTTCCCTGAAAAATATTCATGGCAATAGAAAAGACTATTTTTCTTGTTAGAAAAAGTAATTTAGGTATACATTATTGCATTTGTTTTATGCCAGCAAGAATTTTGTGTGGTGGTTTTGAAAAGAATGGAGTGAAGGAGTTTGTAGCGGTTATGTCCGCAGCATATAAACAGGTGCTATTTAATTTACCACAATATTATTTGTTAGACAAGATTTAATCATTTTGAAGCTTGTAGAAGTTACGGCATTGAAGTTAGAAATTAATTTAGATTTTGAATAATCACAACTAAAAGCAATTGTAGTGCTTGTAATTGTTGCAAATGTGGTGAGCTATCCATAGAAATGTTTTCCTTTAACTTGAGATTGCTAAATTTGAAATAAGAATATGGTTGGGCATACAGGACATTAATTTCAGAATGCAGGAAACCAACACATGGCTGTTGGAATTATAAGTAAAATCTGAACCACACACAGAGCTAAAACAATTGCACTAATAATCTCCTCTTTCAATTATATGTGTAATGAATCTGACATCTCTTGATTAAGATGAGTGTTTGGATCGCTACATTGATTAGCAAATTGGTAAATAGGAGAATGACTAGGTGATAATGGGGAAGAGGGAATTGATTTCACAAGATTTGTTGGGATAACTGCATGTGTGAAATTTATTTAGTTGGATATTAGTTGTCAAGAGCAGTGAGGATGTTGGCAGAATAGGAGTAACATTATAGCAGTGTGTAGGGCTGTAAATGAGCTGAACTTGAGCGAGCTCAGGCTTGGCTCGTGTTCGGCTCGTTCGAAATTGTTCGTTTTCGAAATCGGCTCGTGAACAGTGTGTTCGTGTTCGGCTCGATTTAAATATTCGTGTTCGTGTTCGGCTCGTATTCGGCTCGAAATTGGCTCGTTAAATTTAAACTGAAAAAATAGATTTAAAGTGCTGGATTCAAACCTGAACCAAATGTACGAGCATAATCGCATTACCACAAAAGGAATTACGATTTAAATTTAGATATAAATATATATAATATATTATTATATATTTTTATATAAATAATTAAATAATTTTTTTTTATTTCGAGCTAAAACGAGCCGAACAAAAGCGAACAAAGAGTTGTTCGCGAACAACAAACTTTTTTGACATCCCTAGCAGTGAGAATAAAAGTTAGGGATAATTTTTATTAGAACCAATCAAGATAGAATCTGAAAATTATTGAGTATGTCATCTTTAACTAACACCCTAGGAATAGATGGTTTCTGAAGTGCATTCACAAGGGCATCAATTTGTAGGGTTTTACAAAATTGAGAATGCACTATAAATACATAAAATATTAATTAAAATGGTTAATTTTAAAATATATAAGTGCAACCCTAATTTGGGAAACAGGCAAATAGACCCAACTCTTACTCCAAGAAGTTTAAGGATTACGTGTAGTATATTGAAATGTAATCAACAAGATTTATACTAGTAAATATGATATCCAGTGGAATCTGATGAAAAATTGTCAGTGTAATAACTCTAATAAAAAATGCTTTTTCAACTAATTTCCACTATCAACAATTACTTTATTGATTTGTGGTTGAATTTCATCAAATAGTTCTTTTAGATGAATAACTAGTAGATCACACAGTTGAAAGTAAAGCTAAAATTAGATTTGATGGTCAACATTCTCAAGGATGTTGGCAGAATAGGAGTAACATTATAGCAGTGTGTAGGGCTGTAAATGAGCTGAACTTGAGCGAGCTCAGGCTTGGCTCGTGTTCGGCTCGTTCGAAATTGTTCGTGTTCGAAATCGGCTCGTGTTAAAAAACTGCTCGTGAATAGTGTGTTCGTGTTCGACTCGATTTAAATATTCGTGTTCGTGTTCGGCTCGTATTCGGCTCGAAATTGGCTCGTTAAATTTAAACTGAAAAAATAGATTTAAAGTGCTGGATTCAAACCTGAACCAAATGTACGAGCATAATCGCATTACCACAAAAGGAATTACGATTTAAATTTAGATATAAATATATATAATATATTATTATATATTTTTATATAAAT